CAGTAGCAATACTTAGAGGGGCATCGTGCTTAGGGTGAGCAAACAGTGTCGCATGAGCTAAAGCTGTTTTTGCTGCCTCGAATGCTGCAGTAGAGTCCTCAGTCCATACCATCTCCTTAGTATTCTTATAGTCTTTGCCTAACTATTTATAGAGAGGAGGGAGTAGAGATGCAAGACTAGGAACAAATCTATTGTAAAAGCTAATACGTCTGAGGAACTCACAAAGCTTTCATTGTGTAGTAGGACGAGGTTACGTATGGAAAGCTTCTATTTTCTCTGGCAGTGGTCTGATACTATCTTTATTGCATGTATGACAGAAAAACAAGCTCAGAAATCCCAACTTGACCCTTTCTGGGATTGATTACAATACCATGGTCATTCAAACGCAGAAGAACAACTTCAACGTGCTCCAAGTGCTCCTCTCTCGTACTACTGCCAATAAGAACATCAATATATAAGTATGGGAGATCCTGGAGTACTTGATCAATAAAACGTTGGAAAGACTGGGCTGCATTTCTCAACCCAAACGGCATCCGAACAAACTCAAAAAGTCCGAATGGAGTTGTGATAGCTGTCTTTGGGATGTCTGACGGTTCCACTGGGATCTGATGGTACGCTCAAACCAAGTCTGACATAGTAAATATTGTAGTACCATGGAGTGAAACAGTAAAATCCTGTATATGAGGTATTGATTAACAATCAGGGCCTAAAACTTTATTAAGAGCACGATAATCTCCAAAGGGATGCCAGTCTCCTGATTTCTTCTGGACCACATGAAAAAGTTGCCCAAATGCTGGATGAAGGTCTAATTATTCCTAACTGCAGCATGTATCGAAATTCATTTTTAGCTGTCTTCAACTTGTCAGGGGAAGCCTTCTAGGTGCTGAGTAAACAGGTGGGCCAGTTGTTGACATTATGGTCGGTGACCTGGTGTTTAAAATGGTGGAGTTTGGGCTGCAGTACTGCTAGGAAACCCTTGAGGAGTGACTGGAAATCGTTGTGGTCAGTAGGAGGGAGTAAGGTGAGACAGAGGGAGGTCTGAGTAGATGCTTTCCATTTTTACCTCCATACAGGTGACCTTGTCAATTAGCTTATAGCGCCTCAGATCCACCAGAAGGTAAAAATGTCTCAAGAAGTCCGCTCCAATTATTGGGGTAGTTACATCAGCAACTAGAAAAACCCAACGAAAAGTTCTGCGAAGACCCAAGTGGAGAGTTAACGACTGAGTACCACATGTAGCAATAGCTGCCCCATTAACAGCTTGTAGGATACATTCTAGGCGACACCTCTTAGTCTTAGAAGCAGGAGGTAGAACACTCACTTCTGCTGCAGTATCAATAAGAAAGTGGAGTAGTATATTTGTATTAGAAATATGAAACAGATGACTGGCATGATGGCCAGCAGCGCTCGTCGCCAATAGCGGCTGGCTGGGACGTTTTCTGCTCAAGAACAAGGTTCCCCGCACTTATGAGCTTGGTCACCATACCATTCCTTGTACCAGCATAGTTTAGGTGAAGGATCTTGAGATGGAGTACTCCTCGGGAAGGCATTGCAATGGGGATGAGGAGATCGTCCATGCGATAGTGCTCTACTGGCACAGTTTACCAGAGGAGTGAGGCAGGCCAACCTCTTCCCTAAGCTGTGCTACTTACGTGGCCAAAGTATTACTCTCAGGCATGCTATTAATGGGTGGTGGTGGCGTTGGAGAATAAACCTCCATAACTTTATCAGCCAAAGAGTGAGTTCTGCTAGAGGCGTGTCTGCTTTAGCTGAAGCCAACACCATCCTAACACCACTAGGAAGTCTCTGTAGAAAGAGCTCCTTCAGGAATGCTGAGGCATACTCAGCAGCTTGCCCAAGCATTTGCTCCATCCTGTGGAGGAGTTGGGAAGGTTTGCGATCCCCGAGCTCTTTTCCCATAAAGAGTTGCTGCAGCCTCCTTTGCTGTGAAGCAGCTGTCCTTTCAATAAATGCTTCCTTCAGCTTATCATACTGGTCAGAATCAGGGGCTTTGAGTACCAGATCACGTACCTCCACATCTTCCTCAGGCAAAAGAGAAGCTACCTCATAATCGTATCTGGTCTTTTGCGACATTATCTTGTGAGTCTGGAACTGAGCTCCTTTTGAGCAAACCAGATAAGAGGATCTGAAGGCCAATATGGTGGCAGCTGGAGGGAGATTGATGCTTGAGCCTCGCAACTAGGTGAGGTTGCTATGTTCCCAGTCTGGGTCACCAATGTAGTGTGGTCGTAACAACAGTTATTAGTATATACAGCAAAGGACAATAAAAAGAGAAGGAAGAAGGGATTTAGAGAGAAAAGAGAAAAGGAAGGAAGATTGGGAATAGTTCTATAGAGATGAGAGAAAGAGAAATTACAGAAATGATAAAATAATGATAAGAAAGATCTCTGATAACATAGGACCCATATTACTAAAATTCAGTTCTCTAAGTGTGCAATGAGAGCAATGAGACAAATTGTTGAGTTGATACTTGATAGTAGAACGAGACGAAGAGGACGAACGAACGAACGTCTGGACTGATTGATTAATGTGAATGTATATTAAATAGTTGTTGACCACGTGTAAACTCGTGCTTGCAATAATAAATAACAATGAGCTCATAACCACCACAACTTCTTCCTCCTCTACTCCTTTGACTACTGCCCATTGTAAGACCAACACTACACATTTGGAGACCGACGGTACTTGCTTGGATACCAATGTTAATGGTTCGGAGACAGACAGTACTCACTCGGATACCAACATTACTTGTTCTGGTTGATGCGTTTGTTGTCCTGATTGACTCAATATTTGATGATTCTTTCACTTGTTCTCTGGAAGGGAGTACTGTAGGGTGTACCAACTATACTTATGGTATGTTTATCATTTATTATTGTTATTACTTATTATTATTATTATTTTGGCCATTATGATTTCAATCATGAAAGAGACTATATCTATAATTATTGTTATTATCATTATTATTACTATTATAATTATTAATATCATTGTCATTATTATTATTATCATTATTAATATGCATTATTATTTTCACACGTGTGCATAACACACATGTTCTTTTGTTCTTTCTCCCTTCTTCTCCATCTCATGTTTGGCTACTGTCTTTATATCATTGTTAACGTTGTCCATCTCATTCCTTCGTCATTTAATTATAACATTTTGACAACTTAACTATCCTCTGCTAATTTATTTCGTCTGGCCTTACTACGCGCGACAACAGTACCTCTTGTATCTGTAATTATATCTCCAAATGATAATACTGTATGAGTCATTATTTACCAATTTTCTCTGAACCTCCTCCATCTTCAGTTGACTGTATAAGAGTACCTCTAGTACCTTTTATTATGTCTACACATAATGCATGTTACTTTAATAGTTTTCATTTATTAATTCTCTTTAAAACTCCATCTTCAGTTGAGTACCTCTAGTACCTGTAGTTATATTGACACATTATAATTCAGTAATTGTCATCATTTACCAATTCTCTTTGAACTCCTACATCTTCAGTTGACTGTGTAAGAGTACCTCTATAGTAGGGCCACACTGACTTTGCCATCTCATTAAAAACGCAAACTTAGTGGTCATTGTTAAGCACGTGTTAAGTGTTTCATAATTGCTTGTTTATATTAATATCACCAATGAATATAATTAATAAAAAACAAAATTACAATAATAACTATTGAAAGAAAAAATAAAGTAAGAGAGATTATAAAATAATGAGTACATTACAAGTAATATTACAACTAAAAAAGTAAAATAGAAATAGATTTAGCTAAGGTTACAGTAAATTAAAAATTGTGTCGTAAATTTAATTAAAATAGTGTAGTGAATTAAAAAAGTAAAATAGTCAAATGTCCTCATCACTGTCAATAGCAGCCACACAATCATCAAGTGAGTCAGGGCCTGAGGCAGCATCTGTCTCGCTAAGGGCATCATCTGACTCACCATGGACATGAATGACAAAATCAGGTACACGAAAACATTCATCAATATTGAGATTATCATTCTGCCAGTAGCGGTCCTCCACTTTATCCCTCACATGTTTAACCAAGTCAGCCCATCGCTCTTTATTTACCACCTCAAAACCCGCTTCCGCAAGACTTTTAACTTCATCAAGCGTCAACTTGGAGGTGTTTGCCTTTATATGGCCCTTTACCTGTGCCTAAGCCAATTCAATTGGATTGAGTGTACAGTGGGCCACAGGCAGACGAACAACCTCATGTCCAGCCTTAAGAGCCATTTCATCTACAATGTACTTAGTGGTCGTGAGGCCCATCCTTTTGGCTGCGTCTTGTACGAATGCCAAAAGTTGGGACTTAGTGCAATCATCATCAAAAAACTCTTTACCATAATACACTAGCCACACAATCATCTTGCACTTAGTCCAACTTTTCTTAGGAATCTCTTCCTCAATCCTTGAATGATATGAGGCATTATTCATAACAATCAGACTATTAGGAGGAACATTTGGGAGCAGACTATCTCTAAACCACTCCTCAAAGTGCTCTCCAGTCATTTCGTCATGGTAATCGCCTGTGTTTTTTTGGATTGGAAGATGAGAGTGGTGTTCGGAATCCAACCCATCTCACCTCCCGCTCCAAGAATAATGAGACGCTTGCCTTTACCAGACGGGGCACTCACTTCCCCCAAAGTACCCCCTGTTACAGTGTCTTCTTCTACCCAGGCCAAATCTTTGCCATCATGGGCATTGGCCCAGGTTTCATCAAGAAAGACTACTGGTTTATTGTCGGCCCTATTTTGTCTCATCTTGCGAAGGTAGGATTTCCTCTGCTCAATGATGTGTGGCTGCTCATAATAATAACGTCTGTTGTCCACCCTCCTGTACTTATGTACTTAAATCCTATGTCATGTAGTAGTCTCTTCAGTAGCTTCTTTCCTCCATTAAAAATGCCGTCATCCTGTATTGTCTTCAGTAGTTTCAGTGTTGTTACTTGTTCTTTTCGTTCATAAAAGTCATAAATTTTATGTCTTATAGCGTCAATGTCAAAGGTGTCCGGTTTTACTTTTTGTCTGGAAGTCCTGTAACGTCGTGCTGGTGATTCAAAAGTAACAGTCTGTCCTTGTGTTGTGTCTTGTTCTTGTCCTATAGTCTGTTCTTGTTGCAGTCAATGTCGTTCTGAAATAATGTTACGTACAGTCCTAATACCTATTTCTAAATTACAAAAAGTAAGAAAACAAAAACACCAGTTTCCCTTGCCAGAATAATCCCAGCCTACAGTCTTATAGGGCTAGGGAATGGTCTCTGGCAAGGGAGAGTTGCCTTGTATCAAGAAAGGATATGGCTCACTTGTAGCGTCTGCTGTCCTTTGAAATGGTCTGTTTCCTCGTCCTTGTCTGTGTAATTTGTTAAATTAATCAAAATTGTTACCTACAATTGTCTTTGCTTGTCCTTCCAGTCGTTTACCTTGTCCTAATTTGGTCCTTTTCCTTCTTGGAGTATCATTTGTTATAGCCGCCATTTTTATCAGAGCTCACGTGATCTATAAAACGTGGGCGGCATTAATGGCAGTAAGTACTTGCTAAGTGGCTTGGGCTTTGATTTTACTTCTTCCTTGAACAAGTTTCGCTCTGATATTATCATATATCAAAATACCAGGTCCACTGAGTTTTCTACATCAGTGAAACACCGCTGTCTTTAGCATGTAAAATAAGAAAGTTATTTAAAATGTAAGTTGGCAAAGTCAGTGTGGCCCAACTATAGTCCCTGTAATTATATCTGCGCATCATAATACTTTAATACGTATTATTTACTAATTCTTTTTGAAACTTTTCCATCTTCATTTGACTGTGCAACAGTACCTTTAGTACCTGTATTTTATATCTGCACATCATAATAGGCTTTCATAGTTATTATTCTCCAATTCTCTTGAATCTCCTACATCTTCAGTTGACTGTGTAAGTGTACCTCTAGTCCCTGTAATTATATCTATGCATCATAATACTTTAATAGGTATTATTTACCAATTCTTTTTGAACATCTTCCATCTTCATTTGACTGTGCAAGAGTACCTTTAGTACCTGTAATTTATATCTGCACATCATAATAGGCTTTAATAGTTATTATTTTCCAAATTCTCTTTGAACCTCCACCGTCTTGATTTGACTGTGTAAGAGTACCTCTATTACCTGTAATGATATCTATACATCATAATACTTTAATAGCTATTATTCACCAATCTCTTTAGAACCTGTTGATAGTTGAACATTCTGGCTCTTTCCTTTAAAATAATCACAAAATATTTGTATCACTGGAGGACTCCTTATCATTAGTATTAATACCTAAAACAACATGAATTAATTTTTAATCATTAGATAATGACTTGTAATTGGTAAATTAAATGATACCAATGGATTATTTGGATAAAAAATATGCAACCATTGACAGTATCTATCATCTGGAATGTTGTAGCCATTTTCCTGTTTTGTACTAAATTGCTTGTGTTCCACATTTAAAATTACAGGTTCAAGTTGTGAAATGGACTTATTCCTTGCTTTCATCTTTGGCCAACTGCCTTTTCCTTTCATCCCTTTTACCAGGGGCGGATCCAGGATTTTAAGATTGGGAGGGTTGTGATTTGTCGCACCAAGCGCCCCAAAAAATTTTGTCAGCTAATTAGCTATTCATGAGGGGTGTGGTCAATTAATTGCTATTATTACTATTATTATTATTATTATTATTAAAAATTGATTTTTAACCCATTGTTGACTAGTCTTGAACTGATCGTTGATAAATTCTTCTCGGTTGTTGCTGAATAAAAGCTTGAATTATGTCAGACACTGGTATTCTCTGGGCGTAGTGCATGGCAATAACAGCCAAGTCTGAAAAGTGCTCCTCGTTGAGTGTCGATCTTGTGTAGGTCTTTAGACAACGAAGCAGTGAAAATGTCCTTTCTGCTTCTGAGCTGGTGATTGGCAGGGTACATCCGATATCTAAGAGATGGTATACATTTGGAAGTGACTGTGAATCACAAGCTCCTAGTGACTGGAGAAAGTTAGAAGGCAGTATATTGTCACCAGTGTCAGTGTGTTCTATCCACATCAGCTTCCATCTTGCAAGTTCCCCAGAGAGAGAGTGTGGAAAGGGCATTTTGTTAAACCAGAAATCAAAGTACTTAGACTTTAATTCTTGATCACTATTGGCCAGAAAAACAGACGGAATCAAGGAAAGGAGAGAATGAAGATGCTGATTGTTTTCCATAGTAAACCTATCATTGAGCTGAAGGATCAGAGTGTCCAGAAGGGGGATCATTATAGCTCTCTTGTAATACTCTTCTGGGCTTGTACTAGAAGTAATATTTCAATGTTGTTGTACTCTTGTTTTTCGAGGAACTGTCTCAGTGGCACCTACATCATTCGCTAGCTTCATTATCTTAGAGTACCATGATGGAAAATTGGTATCAATAGCCTTCCTGATTGTGCGAATTCTAGTTGTAACGGAACTAACCATGCACAGTGCTTCATATACGTCTGGGTCACGCTTCTGTAATTTGATGGACAAAGATTTCACCTCATCTAGAATGGTTTCAGTAATCACAAAAGTGGCTTTTGTGTCAAAATGATGCAAGAGAGGCTTTTATTCCCTGAGCTTTAACAGCAGTGTCTTTGTCCCAATTCCAACTTCCACCCTCTGATGAAGCTAGCAGCTCAGGATAATGACTTGGGAATAATATAGCATCCAAGAAGGTAACCAGAGGTTCATGTAGTTCTAATAAGACCTCAAAACAAGTGTGTCACTCAATCCATCTGGTTTTGCACAAGCCTGGTAGTTTCGTATGAGAGGAGTGAAACAGTTCCTTAACACATAAATCAAACATGCGCTGACGCTTTGGACTGTTGGAGAGAAAGAAATGTGCTTCATTCACTGTCCCCATCATATTTCTAACGTCCAGAATCTCACAAGAGGAAGCCACAGATAAATTGAGATAGTAAGAGTAACAGTGGGAATACATGGCAGTTGGGCATACCTCTTTGATTTGGGCCTGTACACCAGCTTTACTAGGTGACATCACAGAAGCCCCATCATATGCTTGGCCACAAATCTTTTTAACATCTAAGCGAATCAGTTCCTCTGTAATAGCACTAATGATTTTACTGGAAATAATATCAGCAGTTGCATGCTGGAGATGAATGAATGACACAAAACACTCCCAGATTTGTGGTGTATGAGGGGTTTAAAGATCAACATATCTCAAGCAAAGTGTGAGAATCTCCTGATTCAAATAGTGATCCGTAGTTTCATCAGCTATTATAGCATACGGAAGCGACTGTTCCCCAAGTGGTCGTACCAAGCTCTTACGGATTTTGATGGCATAAATGTGAGTAATTTGATTTTGAATAGTTTTACTGGTGTACTTAGCGTTACGTTTTGCAGATAGAAGATGTTTATGAAGGAGTTCGTCATTCTTGGACATGAGTTGAAGGGTTGCAACGAAGTTACCTTGATTTGAACTGTCATTGGAAAAATCTATTTTATCATCTCTGTGCCCTCGGAAAGATAAACCCTGTTTAGCTAAAAACACTACAGCTAATACTGTTTGGCTGAGCACATGCTTATTTTCTTCACCCGACTGATTTGGTGAAGTAACCGAGAATCAATACGCTCGTTCGTGTGCTGGTAATTACGAAGAAAGAGGTCATCTCTTTTCGTAGACCGTTGATGCATGACTGTGTTGCCATGTCAAACAAGTACACCAGTCTTACCAAGGGCTTTGGAGTATGGCTTTTGGTATAAACATAGAACTAAGAGGCCTGACCTATGACTGTTATTACCCAGTCCCTCCCCTTTTCCTGGTTTTTCTGGAAATAAAATGCAATTCCTACAGATAACTACACTACTATATGATAGCCAGGGAAACTCATCTAGCCAACGTAACTGGAATGTTGGAATGTGACATTCCAAGACTTGCCAGATTTGGTAACTGGATGAGACTGAAGTGAGTCATTTGCTGATGGCTTGAAGTGATGTGACAAATGACTACACTTTTTACTGTCAGAAAGCTTCTGTGTTGCTGTTTGTAGCTTATCCCAGATTTTGTTAGCTTCAACAAGAAGGCAACCCAAGTCATTCTCTACTGTAACAGGAGGCACATTCACTTCTAAGGAGGCTGCTGAAGTATGACACTGCTCAGTCAAATCATGGTTTGCAGACATAACTGGAGAGGTGTTATCTGCTTGGCTTGGCCCAGGTACAGGTGATGAGTCATTAACATCTAATTCCATGTCAGTGTCTTCCCTCACATGACTTCTGTAAGATCCCTTCTCGTATCAAGGAGAATCTTTTTATCAAGGAAAACAACAAAAAGGATCACAAAAATCAGTCCAGCAAATAATCATTTTAAAATCATAATAATAAAACCCAATCAATACACACACACCCAGGAAATACCACACTAAGATAATAATAGTTACCTAGCAACACAACCACCTAATAATAACAATGGTAGTGATAATAATAAATACATGTACACCTTATTGTAGTCATAACTCTTAATAATATCTCACAGTTTCCTCCCTCCTTAAAAACAGACAAATCCAGAACGTTTAGGCGGACGTCTGTCCCTTAGAGGATACCTCCGCTGGGGCACCACTGGTGTAGTGTTAGTGGAATTTCCTACTCTTCCATCCACTGCCGATGTTGCTGTAAGTGAAGGTTCTTCCTCTTGTCGAGCGGTTGGTAATGGAAGGTCAAGGTCCTGAAGGAGAACTTCAGTTACTTCTTCTGATGTTACTATTCTATGCTGCACTTGGT